AATATCAATGACCTCAACTACTTTAAAAAATAGTAATGGTACTTCAAAAATATTACGCACATCATTCATTCGATATATAAGACGTGCAACGCAGGTGTTTAATACTAGTATATGTAAAAGTTGTTATAGTATTCATTTAGAACTTTTTTTCTATTAGGGAATATTGTAATAAATAGTAGAGCACTCGTATTTTTTTATAAGTCGCTTTCAATAAATTTTAATCCATCTTGCATAATTAAATTAAAATATGACAAATAAAAGGGATATATGCAATAGAATACCACAAAAAATTGGGATTAAAGTGTCAGTTAATTTATCAAGTATATTTTGTTGACTGATGCATTGTCAAATGTAAAACCTCGAAATTTACTCTCGCAATTAAATTCTTTAATAATACTCATTAAGTGCCATTTTGACACCCATTATTCCACATTATAATGAAAGAAATAGTAATTTTTTGAAAAATGTGTTGTTAAAAAAATGATTTGTTTTTTTGAATTTGCGTGTAATATTATTTTATTGGAGAGTGTGTAGTTGATAAGAAAAGAGGAAAAAATGAATTATAATTTAATGAGGAATAATGGGAGCCAAACGGGAGCTAAAGGATTAAAATATTAGAAGCATTAGAAGAAAACTCAATTAATTTAAAAACATTTTTTTTATTCATTATCCACATTTTATCTATATAGTGTATAGTATCAGCTATATAACATTTTTTTGTTAATACCCCCACATGTCATACGTAAAAGATAAATATCAATATATTTATTTAAATAATTTATTATCCAATTCTCTTTTATGGTATAAAACAATAGCATCCGAACGAAGAGTATTTCTAGAATAGTTTGTGTACCCTGGTAATTATATATATTGTCTTACGAAATTAATGAAGTGTTTTCTTTCCACTATGCCAAGTAAATGCTTACCACTAGCTACAAATATTACCATACCTTCGCACATTGCCTCCCGTGAATAGTCCCAATAGGTAAGTACAGACTTGAACTTGAACCACCAGGAGAACCAAATTGAAGTTGACTCATTAGGATCTAAAGTTCTACGTTTGATCGTATATTATTTTAGTGGTTGTTTAGATGGGTCATTTCAATACCCTTTCGTCAGGCTAAATTTTCTTTGTAGTACTTACACTGTGTCTTGTAGTACTTACATTGTGTCTATTGTACCCATGACTACCAATTTGAAGTGTTATCAAGACTTGGGAGTTGTTTCTTCGTTCGTCGTTTACTACTTGAAATATAAGTGGGTGTTTAGTGGGGATTAAAATTAGATTTTAGTAAATTATGATAGAAGTTTTTGAAATATGTGGTTGAAATGCGATGGGACCCATGAAAGATATTGTTAATATTGATTGTTTGACTTTGATTTATATTAAAATTTGATTTTAATCCGAAACAAACAGCGTCTCAAGTATTTCTTGTTCTTCAATGCTATCCAAACCAATTGGACTGGTGCTTCCACGTCCAAGCTCGTTGCATAAATCATCTGGAGTCAAATTGTTCTTACGATCACTAAAATTGTGATAAAATGGAGGATATGGAGAGGAAGTTGGAACCCTTTCTAATGTGATGGATACACCAAACATTTCTTTGAACTGGTTAGTCATCAACAATGTAGTGTAATCCATTTAAAATTAGAATAATATATGAAGGAAACTAAAAGAGGTAACTGTATTGTAGATAAAAATTAGAGATAATGCAACTCAAAATTGCCATAAAAGAACAATTGGTATAAATTAGAATGCTAGAACTGAATTAATAATGTAGAATATTGAGAGAATTATGGTGTAGAAAAAAGGAAGTTGGGAGGGGGTATACATAGGAATAGAAATCCTAAAAAAAAAAAAAAAAAGCGATGGTGGGCCAACAATTTTTTTTATTTTTTTTTTAAAATTGTGATCCTTTGGACACCGCAACTTGTGGGCTAAAGCTCATGATCCAACCACGTGGGCCACTTAGGGATCGTCTCATCATACTTTTTTAGGCTTGTCTATAGGCAGCCCGAGGCTAGGTTGAGCCTACGAGCGGCTCAATTCATTTGCCACCCTAGATTAATAGGATTGGTTTGCAATATTCGTAGGAATTCTCAACTACACAATATTTTATATTTACTTTTCCAAAATTTCATTGATCGATAATTTTATATATATAATATTGATAGAATATTCTCATATTTTATAAGAAATTCTTGATTTTATGACATTGTTAACTATTTTATTTATATTTTATCTCCCCCTAAAATCTAATTATTGCTTCACCCTTAAGTTGAAGTAGTGGAAGTGGAAGGAGAAGACTATGGAGCGTAGAGACATTTAGAAAGGCACGGATGGGTTATGGGAGACATTAGAATAGAGTATGTATATGTTTGATGAAAATGATGGAAATGGTGAAGAATAGTATTATGACATGATATTCCATTTAAAGGTTAATTTTTTAAAAAGGAGTATCATAAACTCTTATATCTTGATCTATATTTGAGTACTTAGTCGATATGAGATTTACCAGTGACATTTCCAGTAAGATGGTGGCTCGTTTTTGAGAAAAACAATATGGGAATCCATGTTTTCATTTGAGTCTAGATTGGATTGATCATTAGAGTTTAATGAACTGTGATATTATATTAAAATTTGGAGTTCCATTCTAAAAAGAAAACATTAAGAGGAGTAGCTCAAACCCTAATATTTAGGTTTTTATTTTGATATTTAACCACTATGAAATTCATCCATTTGACATATATTAGAGATCATACAAAATTCTTATCATCATTAATGAAATTACATCAAATTTTGTAAATGCGGTTCTTTATAATTCTACCAAAAACAAGTAGATCTAAGCATGGATTACTTTGTTGGTTCTACAATGAACCCCTTTTGGTGAGAGAAACAACCAAATCAATGCTCCTTGGCCTAGTTTTTAGAAAATAATCATCAACCAGCTCACCATATCTTCTAAACAATTCATCCATGATTTCTCTTCCAAAATGGCATTCAAGCATTGATTCAACCACAGCCCTAATTGTTTTAGAAAATAGTTGCCCCCTTGGTACATAATATTTTTCAATTGTATTAGGGTTTTCATGGACATTATTGTTGATTGGAGCACCCCCATCCCAGTCAATCTCAAAGGCCTCCAGACGAGTAATGGTGAATGAACCTTCTTCTTCTATTGCAGACGTTACTTCCATGGCAGATGGAGCATAGTATGGTGCATTGAAAGAATCGATCTTTTCTTCTTCAATACGACCCTGAAAATCACCGGCTTGATATGAAATATAATGCGTGCATTCGTAAACCCATATAGATATTACTTTTTTCCAAACGAACTATTATTGAGAAGTTACTACATGCATTCATATGCACAATTTAATATCTTTACTAAGATTACTTTTTTTAAGTTTTTTGAATTCTTTTTTGATTTATTATTTTACCTCTAAGGCCATACTCATCAGAGCCTGTGCCAAGAGCTCCCACTGCATGCAACTCTCTTCACATGAGGGATCTGCAGAGACCCTGCCCATGAATGACAGCACCATGCTTCCATCATCAGCCATCTCTTCCGATCTTGATTTCAGAAATAACGAAAAATCTCTCTTGAACTGCGATAAGTACGCATCGAGTACACAAGCCATAGTGTTCTTTGATATATAGATCTTTCCTTTGTTTAGAGGCTTGAGGAAACTCGATTCCAAAGTTGGAGGAACCTGTATTTCATTATTAATTTGTCTTGTCAAGTTGTAACATGAAAACTTATAAAATGTCTACAATTTGTCTGCGCAAAATGTTTATAATGGTTGTGCCATTGAAGATTAATTATAAATAAAATAAACGTGTCATATTCTGAATGCCTAGGTTTTGAAAAAGATTCTTCTCAATCATCATCTGTACATGAAAATTGTAAACGTGTCAAAGTTTCCTATAAAAATGAATCTGGCCTATAGTATACGAGTGTCTTGAAGTTTACATATAAATAGATATATGCATCCACTGTTAACGATTCAGACCATGGCAATGACCCTATCTCACAGAGATAGAGAGGGCAATGGCCGTTGATTTTGTGGGAGAAACAAAACAGAAAATACCTTTGGACTTGACTCGAGACCTGTGTTTACTATGATACTATGCACAATTCAAACACCTAATGTTTTGTTATAAAATCTTACAGGCAAAGAGTGTTCAATTTAAGAAATATTCTCGTGGCATGTTTGATTTACTTAAGACAACTTTTTAAGAAGAAAAATAATCCGAAATTTCATTTATTGTACTATACAGCACAGTCTAATAATAGATGCCAAATTAACATGCATTCAAGGTAATAATTGAATGCATACTAACCTGAGAGAGCCAATGGAGACTGGAAGAAGAATGAACAAAATGCAAACTCTTTCTAGGAAACAACCTTCCATAAAATGAGCCAGGCACACCTGATATAAAGCACCCCTCTTGCCCAATATTCTTCTCCATTTTCAGTTTCTTGTAGAACTCCGGCAAGGAGATGAATATGTTGTTGAAATCATTGCCAGGAAGATCGTTCAATGAAATCCTTAACTCCGGCAATGGGCTGCCCAATTTATTTGTTATTGCATACACTTTATCTATGATTTCTGATATCACCATTAAAGTGTTAGGTCCAGATGAACATCCCAAATCTGCAATTCCTATACTTTCTGGGAAATTCTTTTCCAGAGAATCTGCCACTGCTTCCTCGATTATTGAAGTTGCAACTGATATTATCTTCCTCTGCATAAAAGTCCATTGAAATATTTGAAATATAGTGTTAGAAAGCCCACTAGAAAGCAGAAAAAGGAAATTACCAATTTAGAAATTAGTTGAAATTTGTGGCGAGAAATTGGTGCATGAATGACTCTTGGGTTAAAAATGAGCATGATGTTATTTGTTCAAAAATACGGGTAAGATAATTGGTAAGGTAATCTACTAATAGATGTGAAGATATAAGCTACATAAGACACGGTAATTAAATAGAAAATCAGGAGGTGAATCTTCTGCCCAATTCTATAGTAATATGTGCAAAGGGATATTAAGGAGGGATGTGATTTTCGTGGCATGGACTTTGGACCTAGAATAGCATAATCCAAAGAGGATAGAAATGACAATTCCAAAGAGCCAACAAAGCATATGACTAGACACATCATAACGTGACATAGGAAGTGGGCATACGAGATCTAACATTCGATTTCTTTTATTCTTCAGTCTCTAAGTAAGTTAACTTTTTCTTTCTTTACCATCCACAGATTCTCATATATCAGATTAAAATATTTTCTTCTTCTTGTCCAGTAGCTATAAATTTCTTAAGTAAGATATCAATGTAGCCCTCTTACATGTATAAAAATGATTTAGCTGGTAAAACATTGTCGAGGAATCCAAACTCTAATGTTGGGTCGACGTCGAGGCCTAAAACTTCTTCTACGCTTAGATGGCGTTCAAAAAAAAAAAAAACAGGTTTCTTTATTGATGACGTTGATTTGGCAATGTCAACGAGCCGAGCCACAAGCCGAAACTCAAAGCTCGGGCTCGGCTCGAGCAAAAAAG